GCGGTTCACCATAAACACTGGTTTCAAATCTTCCGATAATATGGAACCACATCGAAGGTATTCATCTTTATACTTCCGTACTGGTACAGAACGGTACCATTTCTTACTTTTTTTGCAGCAGGAAAGCATAGGGAAAATATATAGAGAGTAAACTATTTCCCGTGATTTACGAAAAGGAAGGCCTTCTGTTGTCCATTTGTCAGTTCAAATGCAATACCGGATTTTTTTTTACTTCGAAATTTTAAGCGAAAATATTCCCAAATGTGCATCACTTTCAAGGTCTCATTGTCTTCGTTTTTTCCATTGAAATCAAGCGCAAAAACATTTAAGTCCGAAGGTCACGTGACGTGGACTTTGCGAACGTGAACGTACTTGCGAAAGATCCAAATGACGACGGAATTGCCGACGAAGCCAAATAACCCGGCGAGGAAGAGGAGAAACCCGTAGATGAAGTACTGCCGCGATGAGGGAGGAGGGTACTGGAGCCAATGCCCCGGTACTTCCAAGTCCGTCGTTAACGCCGTCGCGTTCACCTCCATTCCTGCATGCAGAAGTCAAATTGGCACGCAAAACTCGCACGAACTTCCTTTGCGATAGAATATCGTGATGTGATTCGGTGCACTGTAGAGTACTGGAAATAATTTTCATGCATTTATTCGTATTCAAAAATTCTATAGATATTCACGGTTTTCTCCTGCCTTGGAATCTCCAGCAGAATTCTGCAAAATGAACTAATGAATCGCGAAACAATGAACTATCAATACAAACGAACATCTAGTCGTTGCAGCACCCTATCCCGACTCTTGGCAACATTTCCAGGAAATCCCTCGCGAATTTTCGGCTCCAGCCGTTTCAACCGTAAATGACATCAGGGACTGGGAGCAATTGAGCGAATCCTTCCGTAACCATGCACTTTCCCTCGATTTCAATCAAATCCGTTTTTCCAGGAATGGATTTTACAGATAACAAAATACTGTTGCTCGTGGGAAGGCAATGTTTTACATTATATATTTTAAAATGATATTAGTACTGATAATAATTTTTTAATTATGTATTTATATTTTTAACAAAGGCATCAAATATAGGAATAATTGTTTACCTACTCTTCCGAAATTGCAACTTTATGTTTCTCAAAGCCGAATCCGGTACTGAACGTGAATCTCAATAAGGTTCTTTAGTACCTCAAAACTAAATATCAGTTATTGAGCTAAGCAGGTAAAAACCATGATAAAGTTAGCGATATTTTCAGAAGACTGTCAGTAATTTTCCTGAATTCTCTCGATTTAAAATGTTTCTATGAATACAGTAATTCCGATAGTTTTCAAACGAGTCATGAATGAAAATGGAGTGAAGAGTGGAACCTTTTCTCAGCAAGTCAATGGAAACGAGAAGCCGACGAGGTTCGTCGCACCGTCATCAAAGGAACACAAAGGGAGACCGGGGAAGGAATGAAATCATTTCCCGCGACGAGAGGGTTTTATCATCCGGCTGGCAAGTCTTCCTCCGCATGCGGGGTCGGCGAGTCCTCTCTCAGCGGCGGGCGCAGGCGCCAAGCAGTCTGCGTGTATCGGGAACTCGATGGCCTTGGGATCTTTTTCAAGGCCGATTAATGTCGCTTGGAGGTCAGAGGCGTGCATCCTAGGATCCTCGGGTCCGCTCGGGCACGGGAAGTTCTGCAGTTTCTTCTTCTTGCCTCTAGGCTGGGAAACGGAGAGGGTATCGCTGCTGAGCATCCCACTTCACGTCTGTCTTTGCGTTGCGCACCTTTTCGGCCCTTCCTTTTCTCGGCATCTTCTGTTAACCGGGAGTTATGATGAGGCATCTGCAGCCTGCTCAGGGCAGGCACAGTGCTTCAGCCAACACTGTATCGCGCTCGTTATGAGATCCTAGAAGGAATTGAAACATGGGTTGATTTTTTTATTATTTTTTATTTGGATCTGGTACGGCTGAGCCGCGAATCTTAGTACGCGTTCGGGTTTCGATGAATTTGGGTCCCCAGAAAGCAGCCCATTTCTTGATGCTGCAGCAGCGAATTCAACGCTGACTGCAGGGATCATTGCGGCGGGTTATGAGAATTAAATGGCCTTCAAAGAGGAGGACGAAGACTCTGAACGTTGGCACAAACGGTCGGCCTGGCAACCCTTTCAGAGATGTATACATGAACCAGAAAATGAAATACCGACCAGAGGGACAGGAAGGCCCTCTCGCATGGGGCGTGGAGTCGATTTCTTTCTGCGCGAAACAGGAATCGCATGAAATCCGGAAGGCAAACTTAATAGAGCGAAAATAGCAATCCCTTCAAAAGTATTTGTACGATTACTCTACAAGGGTGGCAATTATTAGTACACATTGAGTAGATGTTTAGGGAGTTGTCATACTTGGCCTTCACGACATATATTCAATTTTTTACTATTCAGTCTTATTCTGTTTTTTTTTTGTTGTTTTTTTTTGTTTTTTTTTGTTTTTATTTTGGTGCAATGGACTTGAGCCTTTCACTGGCGAGACTCTCCCGGCACATCGCCTGTCGTAAAAGGCATATTGTACCGAGCAATACGATATGAGGCCAGAAATGACGCGTTCAAATATTGCTCTGGGTACTGGTGAATCCTTTCCCTATTCCTGTCAGATGGTACTATTGGTACCTCTTCGAGCGTACTCTGAAAGAACTCGACCGGTTCGTCCTTCGATGATGGGTGATTTCGATCTGAATGTCGATTCGATTTTTAGGGCTTTGTAGATTCAATGGTCAGCGGTTCACCATAAACACTGGTTTCAAATCTTCCGATAATATGGAACCACATCGAAGGTATTCATCTTTATACTTCCGTACTGGTACAGAACGGTACCATTTCTTACTTTTTTTGCAGCAGGAAAGCCGACATCTGTCCCAGTGACTTCATAAGGGACGCTATCAATAATACCAGCACTTCCACTCGGTTTAATCAGGAAAAGATCTATCTGCATTTCAATGTTAGACCTAAATAACTACAGGAAATGATAAATAATAATTATAATTGAGAGAAGGAAAGGTATCGGTTCAAATGGCAGAGAAACGAAATCGAGGAGATCGAGAGAGCGCTGAGACAGCCCTTAGAAACCGGAGGGAATGCTGGAACAGACGAAGAGCTCATTGGAGATGAAGGTTTAGAGCAAGAAGGATTACTTTTTTTTATTGTAGCTGCTTGCCCTTTCTTGGAATTGCGTGCCTGCAAGTCCTTTCCTTCTGCTGCCTTGCAATCGGAATTAGAGGATCAGTTAGTTCCCGGAAAGTTAATCTTAGGTAATCTTAGGTAGGTCGGCTTGGCAACTGATCTCTGTCTTTTCTTCTCTCTCTCTCTCTTTTTCTCTATAGTTTACTTTTAATTTATTTCACTCATTTCACCCTCGTGCCACCGTTCGGCAACTGAGTGAAGTGAGAAAGAGCAATTCCTGCATTTCTCAATAAAATTTTCTGGCTTTAGAAGTTTTGGTAGCTGGCAGGTGGAGGCGGAAGCAAGGCGGTGCAGTTCTTTTCCCGACAAGGAGATGAAGCTGTGACGATCTTCGGTTCCCCTATATCCGAAAGGGAAATGCGTATGGAATTACCTTTCTTCTCGGGAACGAAAATGGCACGTTTTCCGAAGCATCACAACATCGTAATTAAAAAGTGATATCGGAGGCGAGCTGGTGTCGTCTACCATTCGGATCGCAAACTAAAGGTGTCGGGTGGCTTCCTGAAGGTGTCTAGACGGAAATCGATCACGAAGGCGTTTCGGAGAATATTCGAAACAGGCTTTTCGGACGCGAATGAGGAAAAGGATCGTTGGATAAAAACGTCGGACTTCGAACATTAGTCCCTTAGCCGTATTATTTCTTGAATAAGAAGGAAATTTTCCACAAAGAAGACGAAGTGGGATTTCCAAAGAAATGCAGGAAATATTTTCCGAACTTGAGGGAAATCCAAGTTTACATGTTCTTGATTTGAAATTTCCAATTTTTTTTTTTACGGTGTCAGGTTAACGGGAGAGTCAGGCACCGATTGGAGACCTAGATCACCCGGGAGATTTAAATATAACATCGAACGATCAATGTCTTGACTGACGCCAAGGAAGATCCCAAATCCGTCTCATGGGACGCTATTTCGCCTGCCCACGCGAAATTGTCGATCGAGAAAGCTCTTATATCGGGTCTTATATCGAATCTGGGAATGCATGACAATTTAAAAATTTTTGATTATTGGTTTTATTTTTCATATAAAAAAATTTGAACAGTGATTGATTCCCCAAGTTGAAATGAGAGAGGGATTTTTTTTTTACAAATTAAAATGTTTCGAAGCGAGGTGGGAATGTGGGACAAATAAAGAGAAAAAAAAAAGAAAGCGATTCGCAAGAAAATGATATGCGGCGTGACCCCAAATTCGATCGTTAACGATGGAAAATGTCAAAATTGCAGCCGCAATTCTCAATGCAAAAGATCCCCACGAGAATTGGCGTGTCAAGGAATACGCAAAGCGGATATCCTGCCCGGAAATTTCTTGATCGTACCGGAAGGAATTCGCGTCGGGAAAAACTCGGATCCGTTTTAAATTCCCACGCCGAAGAAACCGCATTTTCTGAAGAGGTTCAGTGCTCAAGGTCCAAATTTCGATTCTCTGATCGGTCTCTGTGGAGAAACGCGGGAGTATTTTTTTCTTTTTTTCACCCGAGAAGGGATTTAAAAAATCGGCGTCGGCTGATGCATAAATAGCTGCAAAGAGCCGTGTTTTATTCTCTGGATTCCTCACACCACATTTAATGGGCGTCGCCACGCGATGACGGAGCTGCGCTCTTCTCCCGTCTTCAACAGGATTTCACACGTGGGAGCCGACCTGAAATGACAATTTACATCACATTCACATCGCATTCACATCGCATTCACATTGCATCAGAGTGTTCTTAAGCAAGCCTGTTTCTGCCTGATACGAATTCCAAAATCTCAATTACGAGATCTAAATCGCGAATCGCGTGAAGTCTCGTCGAATAGCAGCGGGAAAAAAGAGGGCCAAGCAAAAAATATACCTAGATTTTTGTTGTAATTTAAATTCATTTAAATCCCTCCATGCTTCCATGAAAGACGGTTGTTTGTGGCCTCGTGCGACTTTCTACGAGGAATCCCCGTCGTGCCATGGAAAACATTTTGGGTGGACCGGACAGAAGTCGATTACAGAGTTGTGGCGAAAATTCGGAGTTAACATGGAATTTCGTGATGAGTCTAGTTCGTTGCTGCTTGCCCAGGCCTTAATCTTCCCAAGCCATCGTGAAAATTAAGCTTTATAGAGGGGATCTTAAGCGGTCTCATGACACACATGGGACCGCTTAAGATCCGCGTGAAAATGGCTGATGTGAATTTCGGTCGAAGTGCAGGCAGTGACAACATACAAAAAAAAAACAATCTTGTAAAAATAATTAAGCCCATCAGATATTCCCGCAGAATTCTCCTTAATTTTCCTTAATTTTTCCTTCATTTTCTCGAAGTTCGGCTCCCTCTCAAGAAAAAATTTGAGAAAAAATCCTCCGCAAGTCACGGAACGGAATGAATTTATGGACATGGGGAGGGAACGAGCTATCTGACACCATGATATTGGATTTTCGGATTCTCCGTTTCCCCGCGCGAAGAGGAAAAGGCTCCGGCGGGCAAGTGCAAATTCACCGACTCGCGCAAATTTACTTCCCTCGTCGATTCGTGCAAATTTAAACGATGAGTCGTTACGTTATTTCCTAGCAAGATTCAATGTTACTGGAAGTATATCGTTATTACAAGGTGATTTGTTCCCTTAAATCGATAGTTTTTTTTTTTTGCAACCTAGGATCAGCACCTTCAGGACCTTCGCTAATTACATGCACGACGTCGGTCTTAGGAAGAAAAATATAAATAAATAAATAATCCGAACAAAACCATCTCAAAGAGCCAGTAGCCACTCCACGCCCCAACATGCAAAACGAATGCAAAATAGATAGATGAGAAAACGGATGAGAAACGTCCCAACAGCTTCCGTCGCCATGGGAACCGACCCGTACGCGATCGGTCGCTTCATCGCCGAGTTGCGAGAAACACGTGCAGGATGCGTCGAGAGACATAATCTTCCTTCGCAATTGCTCCGAGAGGATTAGGGCTAAAGTTATCAACATGGAAATCTTCCTTCGTTTTCAGACCGGACCACGCAATCAGGCAAAATCGGGCTCGAGCGGGGGATTTCCCCGGCGCAATTCCGTTGCCATAGTTGCCTGTCTTCCGGTGAAGAGATCTCGTTCCGGAATATCGTTCCGGACTATCGCTCCGGAATAACGCTCCGGATGCGGAGTGAAAACGTCAGAGGATCCAATCCTCCTGCTCGTCTGCTCGGTCGGCTTTCCAATTGACATGGATTCTAATGGGATCCGTTGCAACGAATTTTCCCTGTAACTTCTATCGCCGATCTCGCCCGTTTTATCGTATTTCACGTTCTGCTCATGAAAATCATTAATTTCTCATTATGTTCTCAATTTTTTTTTATTGGGTAGCCGGTTACGCTTACAAATTTCATTACATTATCATTTTGGTTCAGAAATGTTTCGCTTAATTTTCTTTCTCATATGTGTAAATTTTTTTGCATTCATATTTTTTACATAAAAAAAAGTTGGAGCTCACCTGTCCACCGGAATTCGTGGCGAAAGAGTACTTTCGGGGGTCCCTTGCCGACGCTGAGCAGGAAAAGAAGGGGGGATATTAATTAATCTACCTGCTAATGCGATCAGGAGATAACGAAATGAGAATATGATTAGCATTTCATGCAATATTCATGAGCCTCGATGGCTCATATGAAGTGACATGAACCTGAGACCTCGCTATTTCCTGGAAATCGAAGAAATTTCCTTTTTTTTTTCTCTCCCGTTATGACATTATCCGCTCCTTTGTGCCATGAGCAGGCCCCTCATTACACGGATTGCGTGTTTCTTTTCCCCATAATAGAATTTGCCTGTCCCTTACCTGGAATCTTTATATTGTCCGTAGCCCTCTTTGTATGATAATGAGCTTCTTTATGAGTTATGAGCATTGCTGCAGCATTCCAAATGCAATTGGATTCTTCTGCGATGATCGAGGCTTGCCCTATTTTCCACTCCTTCCAGTTTATTTTTGGCATCTGCAAGATGCCAAAAATAAACGGCCGGGGAAAAGGGGAACAGATTGCAGATGCTCCTTCTTTCCCCGTCCTCAATAGGACTTTTCCTCGACTATTGGAGTTTGCCCTACTTTCATCTCAATGCGTAAATTACCTTCGGCACCTTTTTGCTGATGTATGTCATCACCCAGTCATCACCCCAAACTCCCTCGTATTTCCTTTGGAAAGTTGACTGGGGGAGGACAGGTGCCCTGGAAGTCGACACGTGGATAGGTTAGGCCATGGTGGACCATTAGATGGTCAACCATGTCTAAAAATCCTTTTTTCGGAAGAGTAACGAGAAACCTAGGCTTGAAGTAAATGCTATATATATTATTTCATACCTAGAAATACAGGAAAATTCCGTTCCTCAAGGATTAGTTCACTTATGTGAATGAATTAGTCCTGATGCAGAGACTACTTTCGCGCGTTCATCCTCGTTCAGATTCATATATTAATGAATTGATTCCTTAAGATCGTCTTACCGTTTACCGTCGACGATTCATGTTTTCTGTGGAGAGCATCGAGGAGCATCTGAAATAGCCGATTGTCGTCCGAAGTCTCAGACGCGAAGTCTTCCTCACGAGTGCCTCTCCCCTTGGCGATGCGTATGACGGCCTTCCCATCCTCCTTGCAATTGGCAGTGATGTAATTACTCTCATCCATCGAGGAATCCTCCTTCCCGTTTTTCGTCCCAGGATTCCTTTGTTCTGACTCCACCGAGGAACTCCCGGGGCTCGGTTGGGATTCAGGAGTCGCGAATCGCACCATCCTCGCCTTGCAGCCGTGGACTCGATTTTCGCGCTCTTCGAGGCCGGGAGCGCCTTGGTCGTTGCCGAAATACCTGGCCTCGCTGTGATAGTCTCGGAACCGTGTCAGAATCCGACCCTGATGCAAGTATTGAATACGCGCAGGTTTCATCTTTCATTCTCGTATGGTACAGCCAACGACGAAATTTTCAGAATCAAGAATGAACGAGTAACAACTATCAATTCATTAAATTCGGTGTACCCTGTGTTTGGGATTTCGAATTAAGCCCAGGCGGGTTGTTAAGTCCTGCTGACGTCTGGCGTCTCGCTCTTCTATAGGTGGCTCACCTGGTTTCTAGGGAGTATGTACGAGGAACGTTGCATGTGGAACGCCGTTCCATGTTTAGTTAATATTCGGATGCGCGACACTTTAAAAATCATCCGTTCCAGTCATGGGCTTAGGCAACCCTTGAACGGTCCCTCAGCCCTCCTACAGGGAAGGCCATTGAGGGGGATGGGGGGGGGGGGGGGTGTCTATGCCTTTAAGGAATGCGATTGGATGGAGTGCTTGCATCAAGCAGGCACCCCCTTCCACTTTCTGTACACTCTTAAACATGTATCCTTTGAGTAACCAGCACTATAGGTTAGAAAACTAAACATTAGATACCTTTTAAATCAAAGCTACTTCTAACGTTACAGAGTGAAATTATCCAAAAATTATGTCTTTGAAAAGTTATCCTGGCTGCCTTTGTCACATTTAGACATTTAAAATCATACCTAAAAGTTATGGCCATAACACCGGATCGTTGAATGAATATTCCATATTCATTCAACTATCATTTCATTAAAGATATTACCCTCGTTGCATAAAAGTTCTATGGAGTAGGGATTTCTATTTTCCACCGTGAAGGACGATGGAATTTTCCTTTGAGCGAATTAAAACCATTCCCAGAGATAGAAGTCTTCCTGATATACCCATACGAATGAAACATTAGTTTCTTCCCTTCACCGCATTCACGATAAAATAGGATATTGGAAACTTCCAATTGACCTGAAAATTTCTTTTTATTTTTTATAAAGGTATGGTGGGCCCCGCTGTCATGTGGTGGACCGACACATGACTCTCGCCCACCATGGTGAGATCCTCCCAACGTGAGGGCTGGCAGAGAGCAAGACCCTCACGAAGCTAATGACTTAGCCCTGAGAAGGTGACTCATGGCTATGGGAGAGAAGTCAACCCGAGAGAGAGCTGCTTCTCCCGCAGGATCTCTCCCTTGAGGTTTTTTATCTTTAGGGGTTTAATAAAGAGTAAGGAACTATGCGGCCTTATTGAGAAAGCAACCTGAATTTCATGGCTATGGGGGAGAAGTCAGCCTGAAAGAGAGCTGGTTCCCCGCCCCAGGATCTCTCCCTTGAGGTTTGTAATCTTTAGGGGTTTAATTAAAGCGTAAGGAACTATGCGACCTTATTGAGAAAGCAACCTGAATTTATTTAGGTTAGTATCAGTGTTTTGGGGCGCTTAGTATTTAGGTCCACCTGAGCTGAAGAAGAATGAAATCTATAGGGTCCTAGCCGTTTTACTTCGTGAGTCAGTAAGGTGTGATTTTATTTAAGTCGACATTATATTTAAATCCTATCGGAAGGGTTAAGGACAGATGCCACGAAGATGGTAAGGCGTTTTTCCAGCTGTCCGGAAGTGCCTTATCAGGTGTCCGTGTGCGAAAGTAAGAGCTGAGAGTTAGTGGGGGTGCGCGAAGGGAAGTTTGAGGCCTGAAAATTTCCCATGGAGTCACCTTAGGAGTTGAACCATCCTCCTGACAACCGCTATGCTAGAGTTTTATGGAGACCTCTTAGACAATGTTACCTCTTGAGACCAGTTTGTTGAAGAATTCAAATGTCTTCCCTTGCTCTGTCCGTATGGAAAGATCGGGAATCTAGTGGAAGCTAATAGAGACTCGTTCCTGCTGTATCAGGGTATTGACTCTCAAAAGCGGCTACTTTGGCGCCATCTGGCCCCGGTTCTGCGAACCTCTTCTGTCCTCTCTTGTGTAACGCCAAGTAACGTTTCACGTAACCATAATCGGAGGGAATCTCTGGAACGCGCCTTTTTCATCGCCTCTGTGTGGCTCGAGCTGCAGCGCTTCGGGACCCGTCGGTCAAATGGGGGGGGGTATGACTTCGTCTCCTAGGTGTTTCCCGTGGAGACGTCGCTGGATTTTTGTCACTCAATACTGGGGCAATATGATGCAGCAAAACTAAGGAAATTGCAGAGGTAGTTCATTGTTTTGATTTTGATCATTTTCCTGAGAATTTGTGCGCTTTTCATCAAAGCCATTGTGAATACAATGGGATGAAATGCACAGAAGTAATTGCCCATAGTATGTGCATGAATATCATCCGCATAAAAATTATGAATACGAGGTAGCGTATGTAAAAATAATATAAACATATACTCACGCTATGTTCGTGAGTTGTATTTATATACTTAAAAGTACTATTATAAAGGCCGCTATGAAGTTGCAGCAACAAATAATAATCGAGCTAAATTGGTGAAACATGGTTGATGAACTCCTGGCAACCTGAAATGAAATCAAGGAGTCAGTGAATGAAGCCGAAAATACGTATGTGAACGGGAACTCTTAATGGCGTCCAGAAGAGTCGATTAATGTTGATTAATGTTAATGTTAATGTTAATGTTAATGTTCATAGGATGGAGGAGTGGATGGAAAACTTGGTCAGCGCCGGAGGAATGGGGGAAAATGATGACTTCTCTGATGAAGTGAGTTTCCTCTTCTTCTCCTCTCGAGCTGCCATGGTATTGTTCAATTGCTGGGTGCTTAACTGCAGAATCATGCCGATTGAATGCTTCCAGAGGCAATATCTAAAGAATGTTCCAGCTCTTGATCGACGTCGGTTGGGCTCTTATTAAGCGTCAATCTGATGTAGACATGGAACTAATGCACGAACGTCATGCATTCATCTCATTTCACCGATATCGATGAAGCTTTGAAACCTGACCGACCACACTGAAATGGTTCATGAAACTCGAAAAGGCCTATAATCGGTTTAACGTTACATGTCATCGACGAGGTATGTCGAAGACCAGGGATTAATCCTTATAGGCATAATTGGTCCGTAGGTCGAGGAATTAGTTTCTTTTAAACGAAAAAAGGTAGGCCTAAACCCAAAGACAGTCCGTCGGTTAGGCCGAGGCCTAAGGCTATTGAGTTCCGTAGGGAAGGTTGAGGTTGAGGTTGGGGTTGGGATTGAAGAAAGGAACCTTTGAAAGAAAAGAACCTTTGAAAATTGGTTTTCGTATTACTACATAATATTATATATCCATGTGAAATGTTTCTTGACTTACGGTATTGACAGAGTTGTCGCGGAAGAATCGCCTAGCGTTGCAGCGATGAAGGCGAGGTGCCTCGGAGGAGGACGAGGGTGGAAACATTTCCTTCCCATCCTTGTTCATGTTCGCACTCAGGATCTTCATGAACCTCCGCTTGAGGTTGAAGCGGAACGCCGGGTGGGAGATCCCGTACACGATGGGGTTGTAGACGACGGACGCCTTGGCGAAGACGACCGGAGCGGCCGAGACCCAGGGGGTGATCAGTTCGATGTCCCCGAATATGGCGATGAAGCTGACGATCGTGTACGGGGTCCAGGACATCAGGAATAAGACGATGAGGATGAAGACGATCTTGGCCACCCAGAATTCTGTGCGTTTTCGCGCTTCCCGTCTGGTTTCTTTCCCCTTATTCGAAGCGTCTCCCACCTCCCTTCTATTAGGGAATAGATCGATGTTGCATGACAAATTAGAGAATATTTTGCACCATCAAACGCTCATTTGGTTTGCGAAAATAAGTTCAATGGTCGATATTTCAGTCATAGTCGCAAGGAATCCTCTCTCACTCTTTTTTTTAAAATTACATTAAAGGTATCACTTGCATTAAATGAATACTTGCTGCTAAAAATTTTGAAGGATTTTCACATCATGCATTTCTTCGCTGGGTGAGTAGAGATTCGAGAAGGAAGAGACGAGACCCTCAACATTCGTCAAAAATTTGTACAAAAAAGTATGTGCTTGTACTCTCAATGACTCATTATGTCATACTGAGTATTATGATGTACTTAGCTAAAAATGAACTATAACCTCGATTGCATTGACCTCGATTGCACCTCATTTCCATGACAATCTTCAATTTATGAGACGAGACGAGACGAGAGAAAATTCCCCGAATCACTCCAATTACGTTGATATTCCCTGAAGGAGCTCCCACATAGTAAACTTTCTTCGGAATTATTAAAAACTTTCCCTGTCTCTCCCTTTTCCTGGAAATCTCTCGGGGCATCACTTTTCTTGGAGAACGACTCTGGTCGTCGGTGGATTCGCTCAAGAGTACGTGGAACTCTTAAGTTTCTTGAGAGTTTGAGGAACGCACGAAAGCGTTTTTGAAGTCAATGAAAAAGCGGCTCTGAAGAAAGAATGGAGGGAAGAATTATTACTTTCTGAACCAGTTCATATACCATCACGATATGTACTCTTACTGAAATTTGATCCTGGAATTTAAAAAGTATTCTGATATAATCACACATCCAAATTTTACCGAGGAAAAAACAAGAAATTGGAAGCTATCGCAAAATATTGATACCTATTTGCGAGAAGCGAACCTTTCCCTTTTCTTGAAATAAATGGTATTGATTATTAGATCAATACCATTAGTATCCATTAAGTAATAGATTAGTATCCATTGATTATTAGAAAGATGTTCATCGCCTGGTGTTAAATGATTTGAGCGAGGTTATTCAATTATTCTAATCACACCCCCCAAAAATAAAAATCCAATAATCATCCCAATTTTCACCATCCCAATTTTCCCCAGCATATTCGCTCAGATGCGCGGGAGCCAGCATTCGCGTTTGGAGGAGTCTATAAGGAGTGGTCGATTTCAATATCCTTCGAGTCAATTCGTCGAATCTTTTCCTAAGGTAAAACTCGGCTGAAATCCAATAGGAACTTCCGAGGCCTGACGTCATTTCTCATGCCATCAGAAGTCCCTCAGCAGATATTAGAGGATACAAGTTCTGGGCGATAAACGTTGCTTCAAGTAAAAAAAGAAGTTTTCGTTTCTGAGATATTTTAGCATAAATGTGCCTTGTGATATCTTTTAT